GTCCCCATTGAAATTCACAGGAGTCCCCATTGGGATTCACAGGAATCCCCTTTGGGATTCACAGGAATCCCCTTTGGGATTCACAGGAATCCCCTTTGGGATTCACAGGAATCCCCATTGGGATTCACAGGAATCCCCATTAGGATTCACAGGAATCCCCATTAGGATTCACAGGAATCCCCATTGGGATTCACAGGAATCCCCATTGGGATTCACAGGAATCCCCATTGGGATTCACAGGAATCCCCTTTGGGATTCACAGGAATCCCCATTGGGATTCACAGGAATCCCCATTGGGATTCACAGGAATCCCCATTGGGATTCACAGGAATCCCCATTGGGATTCAAAGGAATCCCCATTGGGATTCAAAGGAATCCCCATTGGGATTCAAAGGAATCCCCATTGGGATTCAAAAGAATTCCCATTGAAATTCACAGGAATCCCCATTGGGATTCACAGGAATCCCCATTGGGATTCACAGGAATCTCCATTGGGATTCACAGGAATCCCCTTTGGGATTCACAGGAGTCCCCTTTGGGATTCACAGGAATCCTCTTTGGGATTCACCAGAAATTGTCTTGCTGTGATTTCCAAAAACTGCTCTTTGGATTCTCCGGAATCCCTTTTAGGATTCTACATTATTGCTTTTAGGTTTCAATTTAATTCCTATTCGGATTCTTCAGAATCTACCTCGAGATTATGCCAGCGAACGTCAAGATTCCAAAACCCAACTTGGGATTCTCATAAATCCTCTTTGAGCCAGGAATCCCCGCAAAGGATTGTACTGAATCTCATTTGTATCCCGTGCGGAGCGGTGAGAGTTTACTGCACCCTTGGTGAACCATGAAAATGACACCCCTTTCTTAATTTGCTAAACGCCCGGTTTCTGAACAAATGGGGGTATTGTTTTTTTGACGCTCAACGTTTCATCGCGACTGAGATTTTTTTTTAATTTAAGCTTTGCTCGGAACCGATATCAATTAATTTTTGTCAAATGCTGATTTCAGAGCTCCAACTCCTTAGAATTCTTTTAGACCTATCAAACTCAGATTCCCTATGAATTTTTATCATAATTCACCTGGATTTTCGGTTAGGATGCATTTGATATTTTGTAAGAATTTCCTTGAAACACATCTGAATTTACACGAATCTTTAATCAGAATTATCATCAGGATTTTCTTTGAATTTTCATATCTTTCCTTGATTTATTCATATAAATTCAGCTAAAATTGCTATTGAGCTCTGCTGAATTGGAAAATTGATCTTCTAATTCGAATCCTTTTGGAAATATCTTCATATTTAAATCCCTGTTTAATTCTGTAGAAATTTTTGTCAGAATTATTTTGGAGTTCATGTCAGAATTTTCTTGAAATTTTGGTCAAAACTGCCTCATTATGAAATTATCCACAGAATTTACCGTTAAATCTCCTGTGAATTTTCCTTGCAGTGCTCCAGGACTTCTCTTGTAGATCCATGGACATGTAGATCAACTCACGTGGAGTTATAAAGATATTGTTGTAAGGATATAGGTCTATTTCTCTAAATGAGATTCTACCTGTATTACGTATTACCTGTCAGGATTCGCTAAAACCTTTCTCGGAATTATTTGGGGTTCTCCGGAATCTGTCTTGTGATTCTCTGGAACTTTTCTTTGCTTCTCTAGAGCAACTTTTGAGATTCACCGGAATACCTCTTGCAATTCGCCAGAAGCCCGCTTGGGATTCACCAAAACGCATCATGGGATTCAGTGTTGGGAAAATATCAAAAAATCAAACCTCACCAATGCTCAAGATGACGCTTGATTTTCGTAGATAAAAATCATCAAGCAAGCAACTACAGATGATATTACAAGCTGCGAATATACTAACCAAACCGTGGTGAGTTTGAGTGTCATGATTATTGCTTTCCACCTGAACGCGACTCGAAACTACCGTCACTGCTGGCAGCAGTAGCTTCGTGTCTGCCATCGGTGAAGAGAGATAGCTAACTAGGGGAAACGCTCCTATAGTTGCGGTACGTTAGTAGCGTTAGGCTCCTATAGTTGTGTACGGAGTCTCCATATACAACTATAGGAACCTAACGCTTCTAACGTACCGCAACTATAGGAACGTTTACCCTATACTTTCTCTTTTTAAGAAAACGATGTGCAACGGACTTATTTTTATCGAGTCAACTCTCAGCTTCATGTTTACATGTTGTAAATAGTCCCGCAATTTCAAAGGAGCTTGTAAAATCATGAGTGATATTAAGAGCGTATGAGAGTGAAAAAATATCATTTCATTGATGATTTTGCCAACACTGATGGGATTTGCTTACTGTTAAAATATTCCTGAATCGTTCTTCTTTGGAATCTCGTCAGTGATGATTTAGAGTTCTGGTTGGAATTATCTGGAATCTTTCATAGAACGAAATCCATGTTGAAAATGTCTATGATTCCTCGTGGATTTTTTTTTTAAATTCACGGGATTCACCTAAAATTCTCTTTTTATTCGCTGGAACTTCTTTTGAGATTCTCAGGAATCCTCCAAAAGTAATCATCAAGCCCTCTATTGCAAAAAGTGCAACATAATGCTGATATAAGCCTAATAAAAAAAGTTAAAGCTGTATTTAAGTTTTGTATTGCAAAAAGGGTCCATATCAGGCTTTTAAATTATTCTTTAGATTCAACGAAATCCCACTTGGGATGCTAATGTATCTCTATTAGGGGTTCTTGGAAAACATTCGAGGGCATTCTTTGGAATCGGTCTTGTAATTATTGGAAATCTCCGTCTGACTGAGATTCTTCATTTCCCCTTCCAGGATGTGATGGCATTCTTCTTAGGATCACAATAATCTAGTCAGTAGGATGTACTGGGTCTTTGAATCGTGGAACTGTTCGTCAAACGATTAAAAAAAACTGCCGAAATTTCAAAAATGAGAAAATTTATACTGAACTTGTACCGACTTATATGATAGAAAATAACATTTGTCGATTTCATTGATTCCTTACAGATAACGGTCATTTGAATTTTACCGACTTTTTCAGCAATTCAAAAACCCAGTAAAAATACGGACTCCTATAAAATAATCTAAGTGTGATTCTTAGGGATTTTCCTGAGTTATTTTTTTGATTTTCAGAATAACTCTTTGGATATCCCGAACCCCTACAAAAGGATTCACAGGAATCCGCTTTGTGATTCGGAGGAATCCTCTATGGGATTTTTAGGTATCCCTTTTGTGATTATCCGAAATTTTTTATGCTGATATTTTCCAAGATTCCTCTTTTGATTTTACGGAACCTCCCTTGGGATGCTTCTGTATCTCTATTGAGATTCTCTGAAATTTATGATCGGCTTCTTCGGGCTTGTGGTTACTCGGGACTTTGAAGTTCTTAGTATTACATCATGAGATTCACGAAAAATTCTTTTGGGACCAGCCGGTGCTTCATTTGGGATTCCCCGAAAATACACAAGGAAATTGAAGAAAACGAAAAAGTCACTTGTCACCGGTAGGTAGATTACCTTAAAAGGGCGATTAACTATAGGATCTGGTGGTTACTTGGGTAATCTGCATTCTTTCAATAAAGTAGTTAAAGGATGATCTTTCAAGTAGACGTATCTGATTTTGTAAACAAGCGTCAATTTGTCGAAACATTTTGCTTGTCCACAGTGGTGTTTGTTGCTTAAGCGAGCTAAGTGTTTCGACCAATTGTCGTTTGAATCCTTGATTACAAAAGCAAATACGTCTACTTAAAAATTCAGCTATGATTTCTAAGTGGCTCTTGCGTTTTTTTTTTAAATAATAAAACTTTTAAGTGTTGGTGCTTAAACATAAAAATCTTCTGCATATTGTTTTTTTTTATTCTAAATAAAAAGCTTGTACATTCAGATTAACAATTATGTTTTAGAGATATGTAATAAATTTCGTAAAACTATTTCAATTTTTGTCAAACCTCTCTTAAAAATGTATAAAAATTATGCTGAAAATTATGACTGCAAGAAAATGTACCGATTGATCATAATATTCTTCCGAAAATAATATTGTAAACAAATCCATCCAATTTGTTTACTGTGTACCAACTTTAAAAGACCGTTACGGAAACGAATTTATTCAAATAAAACTTCATGCTTCAAAGGATTCCAACATCATTTTAAATACACCCAGACCAGATGGTATTAGATGACATATTTGAAGTAATTTATTCTTATCAAATACATCAACAAACACATCCATTCCAGCTCTTCAGCTAACGTACCGTCAACTCCTCGTCAGCCCTATCACATTCACATTGCTTCTCATATTTCACTCGATGCTGAGTATATAGGTACAAGCATGATTCCGACGATCAATTGATTCTCCAATTTTTGCAATCGCTTGCCTCCTCCTTCCCTAATTCTCTAACTCACTCGCTCGCTCACTCGTTGCCTCCCGTTTTTATTCCAATGCAAACACAAAAACCAAAAAAAAATTACCTTACTCAACCTGCACACTCGCTCTCGCCACGTTTCACGTTATTTTCTCCATTCTTGCATTCCGTATATATCAGTATACATTTGTTCCGTTTCTCTAGTTTTTAATTTCCATACCTTTTTTCAATATATATTTTTTGATTGATGTACGTTTTTCCATGTCTGCTTTTTTCTCTCATTTCAAACGAAAAAAAAAATAAATGTACAAACCACACCACCACCACCTCTCGACCGCCGGTCTCCTCGCCCAACATCAACAACAACAACCAAACATACTGCAAACGACACATACACGAAAAACACACGCACCCTTGCTACGACGAACGACGTGGGCCACTTCATCCTCCGAAAACAAAAAAAAAATATGGTCGTGTTCGTGTTGCGATATGCTGCTAAACAAAATGAAAAACAACATCCACATGCGGAAAAACACTTTGATGTTGCACTGAACGTTGGACGCCGCGATGTCAACAACTTGAATACACAACCTTATCTAATTACCAACAACACAAAAAATCATCACAACAACAACACCACCACCACTACAACAGAGCCACACTGGGCCAGGGGATTCGAACCGGCGGCGGCACCGTGGTACCAATCGCCAGCGGAATCGGAATGATGCCCATGCCCGGAGATCGTCGCAATACCGGCAGCCTGCGGGTAAGTAGCTTCTTAAACCTTCTTTGTACCTACCTTCTTTCGTTTCCTCTTTGTGCCGTTTTTCGGTGCCGAACCACGCCGAACCGCAGTATGCCATCTCTAGTGTGCATGTTCAGCATTGAGCACCAGATCAGATCAATTCGCCACATCCAGTCCATCCGGCGGCGGGTGGATGCAACGCTGGATGTGACGTGATTGGAATTCTTTCCTGGGACACACGCTCACCCTCTTTGGCATACACCACGGGAGACCTTAATAACTATACGAATGCAAAGTGAATTAAAAACACGGAGCAGTTCCGGAGAAAGTTTGCATGTACTTTCCGCCCGTTATATCCACAAAAACACGGCAAATTTATCCCGTTAGTTATTCACGGTGTTGCTCTTCTAGTGCTTTATTCGTACATTTTCGTCTCTATATCTGCTCTAGCTGTACATTTGCTTTTTTTCTGTTTTCGGCAAAAAAAAACCTTCATTCACGTTATTTTCCCATCCGTCCTTCTGGTACAGTGCTACCTACTGCATTAAATATCCAAACCGGGAGTTGACCTCCAAACCCTACAACAACCAAACTCACGTCCACGTCCAGCAAAGGAGGCTGGGGCTTGTTTTCCATCTAGCTGCGCTGGGAGTCTAGGGTAGGTGTACCAGTTGCGGCTTTAGGTTCCTTTTATGATGTGGAATAAATGGAACACACCTCAATTACATAACTGGTACATCTACCCTACCTATGTATATTGCAATATAGTTTTAGCCAAATATTTGCTCCGTGCTCGCCACCATCATTATGATGTGTATGTGTGTATGAGCAAGTGGATGTGCTCGATTTTTGAAATGCATGCCTCATTGCGTTTTACATATTCCGGCCGAAGTTCATCATGTTCAGTTCCCAAGAGTTTCATAAAATATGTATCCCAAATAATTACAAACCCGGGTGCCCGGACTGCAGCGGTAGAGATGCAGGTGCATATGTTTCATAGGCAAAGCAATAAACAACTATGCAAATATTGGCTGCTACCTCTCTCAGAGGAATAGTCAAATTTGTGACAGAGTATCAGAACTAATGAGCAAAGGTTCAAATGTTGCACTAGCTGGAATTCAATCCATATTTATTAATCGTTCTCAGAACAGAACATTGGTAAATCTGGAGCTAGATGTTCAATTTAATTTTGATCATACCTGTGTTTATCCTTAGCGAATTTAAATTCTTAAATCAAGAAAATACGCAAAGTTTTCAGAGTTATCAATTGTTCTGCTTCTTTTTGGCTTTATTACGTCCTCGCTGGGAGTTTACGCCGGCTCTCCACCGCGAAAAATACCTTGACCCGACCTTGTTTTATAGCAGTGCCTTTGCAGACTGAGCTAATGATGACCTCAATTATATCAATCAATTGAGAATTACTTTCATTTTGTTTGCTAGGTTGTGGGTTTCAAATCAAGTAAATTAAAGATTGAACACAAAAAAAAAATCCGGACACATTGAGGCATTTTTGAGTAATATTTTTCAAAATTACACTGTATCAAGCTATGAGTGTATACAATCACAGTAGGCATTGGTTGTCAGGATAAGTCCATTTGTTTACAACATGGCTTCACCAGAGCAAGCACGTCGCGATTCTATCCTGCGCGCTCAAAACGAAAATCCCGTTCTAACCGCTTCTGGCAGTTTTCGATCAAATTCCTGGGCATAAATTTTATAGCTTGGTTGACTGGAAGAGTGCCCCGGAAAGAATGTAAAATCAAAAAGAACTTGATTTTCCCCAAAATGTCCTTGTCTGGCAAGCAATCTGCAGTTGTGTACCTTTCGTTACTTCTGGGACCATGAACCAGCAAATTTGCCAGGAAAAGTGCCTACGAAAGAGACCACTGCCTTTTCTGGAGCAGCATGAAGTGAGCTGCATATTCTGGTCGGACTTGACAAGCTGCTACTGCTCAAATTCCACCAAACAGTGGTACAGCGAAAATTACGTGGTGGGACGCAGTTCCACAGAGTGTGCGACGTGGAACACATCCAATGCATGTGTTCGCAATACCGACATCTACGGGAAATGCTTTAGGAAAATCCTGGGCGACGGACCTTCCATTTTACTGACATGCAACACGGCTTTTTCAAGGGTCGTTCGACCTCGACCAACTTACTTGAATTTATAGACTATTCATTGAATGCAATGGATAATGGAAACCACGTAGAAGCTCTCTATACAGACTTTAGCAAGGCATTTGACCGCATTGACATACCAATGTTATTCTTTAAACTGCAAAAAATTGGAATTAAGTCAGTCATATTTAACTAACCGCCAACAAATAATTAAATTCAATGGAAAGAAATCGAGCCCAATTCAAGTCACTTCAGGCGTCCCCCAAGGCTCTCATTTGGGACCTCTCCTTTTTATTCTATACGTAAACGACATATCTTACATTCTCAAAAAACTTAAATTGCTTATTTATGCCGACGACATGAAGCTCTTTTTGGAAATAAGAAATGAAGAAGACATCAATACATTCCGGAATGAAATACACATATTCTACAAATGGTGCAAAAAAAATTTACTAGAATTGAATGTAAAAAAATGTAACTTAATATCATTTAGTAAAAAAAGAACAACTTCAAACATTTCAATTGCATTAGGAAATCAAACTGTAGACAAATGTGAAAGAGTTAGGGATTTAGGAATTATCTTAGCGACAGTTCTTGATTTCTTCAACGACAGTGGACTATACAACAACATTTAGGTCCCTTAACTTTCTTTTGGCTGTCGGGACATCTCTGCCGGACGGAGGCTTTCTCATCCTACGGTGGAGCTCTGACCTCGTTCAGAACCCTACATAACCTTGGATTACCAGATTGCATTATATTCGATGCCTGGATTGTTAGCCATTTACTGGAATCTTGTTCAATTATTTCGCTTTGTGTTTGAACTAGCCAACGGGTAAAATCTCTCTAACACAGAAAAAAGGGTAGTATTGTAATCGAATAGTAACTCAAGTACCATCATTTTTCGTGTGGTTCCATAAGTTAAATTTAAATGCTGGTTAGTTAGAATTGTGCAAAAAATTGCGATGCATTCAATTCTCATGATGCAGATCAAAAAATCGACATGATAAGTCATGCGAAACACTACCTTGTGGCAAGGGTTGTAAGATATTTAATATATAAAACCCTGCTGCCGAATTGCATTTTGATTTCTCCGCCCATCTCTGACTCTGAATATTTCTAATTTTTAGTCTGCTCTTCGTCCGGGCAGATCAAAAGAACTTGTTGGATTAGAAATTCTGGTCTCAAACTCTAGACGTGGCTCAGCGACAAGGGCGAGAGTCTGCTCCAAATCCACTCTAAATACACCCAACGCCCCCTGTGCAGCAGATGAGAGTTCGGTCGTATGGGGACAGATGTAGGCTTCTTATTTCCTCACACATTAAACGCAAAGAGCAAACTTTACAGCTTATCACATTGAGGAGAACGATTGCACAGCGAGATTTTGCGAAGTACGAGAGGGAGAAAATTACTAGTTGTCCCGCAAATTTTGCTCCGCTCCGCTAATGCACGCTCAGATCTGAATACATCATTAAAGAGGAAAGTCGAAACAAAGCGGAGAAGAGCGCATGGTATTGAAAGCAGAGTGAGGTCGGAATTTAACTCGTCTCTTTTTCTACTCTGAGGTGGATCCATCCCTGGCCAGATAGAAGTTCGTGTATTTTGTTGTAGGTATGGACCGGGTTCAATTAAATAGTTACTGCTAGAACGTTCAGGCAGACTTAGATCAGATCTCTACGTCTCGGCTGGCCACTCCATCTGCCGATTCTGTCGACACCATGTGGTTCGATTAACCGGCCAGATCGCCCGATTGATTGACCAAGACCTTGCAAGAGGCAGTCGCAGTCGTTAGCCGTTCTTTCCGGCCCCGCGCGAGTCCTACGAGTTGGTCAAATTACCCCGCTGGCCGCTCAGGACCTTTTCAACTACTATTCGACGTCACTGACCGTTTCTGTTCGCACAATGCAGGCCCATAGCCTGTCAGATCAACAGATTGGGACACACGGGAACAGACGTCTGAACTATCAGGACCTCTGGATCCGCTCAAGACGTCTAATGGACCAATTCCAGAAGCCAGAAGGGATAAGTTCAGTAGTAGATTCATGGGACAGATTAGGTAAAGTCAATAAATCCTCTGGTCAATACTGTACCATGGCCAGAAACGACATGGATCTGCTCCAGTAAACTGGTACATTATGGTCAGAAGGCACTTAAAAAAAATCCATTACACTTAATGTGTTTCAGAGCACAATTTTAGCAACTTTTGTAAATCTTATAAGATGACTTCAATGAGCTGTAAAATAAATTACAGATAACTTATAGGTCTAGTTCAGATAACTTTCGACTCTATGACATTACACCGAATGACCCTTTACCTCGAATTCGATTACCCCGAACGACCCGGTACCCCGAATTCCAGTATCCCGAATGTATTTATCCCAAATTTCTAAAATAAACATTCAAAAAGGAAATGTTTCCTTCTTTATTAAAGTATGCTAAGTGCAAAATATTTTGGACCCATTATTTCATCCTTGATCCTTTAATTGAATTTCAATAAATAATATTCACTTCCTTGGAAAATTTAACACATCTGCTCACCCAACGGACAAGTGCAACGTATCAAGATATTCAAGAAGAATGGAGTCCAAGCTATGGTTGAGTTTGACAGCATTGAATCCGCCACAAAAACCCGAGATGAATTGAACGGCTGTGACATCTACTCCGGTTACTGCACACTGAAGATCGACTATTTCAAACCAGAAAAACTCAATGTTTACAAAAACGACACGGACTCCAGTTGGGCCCTAATGAAATTTGTATGGTTATGGGTATCATCCCAACCATTTGTGAAATAGTTCAATACTTTGGGTTATGGTTCGGGTATGGTATTTTTTTTATTAGGGGGACTACACATTGGAAGCAGTCGTCTCCAAAGATGCCAGCAACGGACGAGCCCCGTTGCTACA